AAACATACGACTACAAGTCCTTTGTTTTTCAGTTATTAAGTTTAAAATTTACGATAAATGTCACTGTGTAGACTAGGTTACATTTGTCATTCGTGTACATTTGTGACTAGTCTATCTTCAACGTTTAAAGCGTGTAGTAGTGAGTTAATTAAGAAGTGTCCCGTATAACAATATCAGGATATCCATATCGTGAGCAGGCAGATATGATTTTTACATACGTTCGCGCGAATGGTAATGGACAAGAGGCTGAAATGCTGTATTGGATTGTGTTTCTAGTCCGAAGGCAGCCGAATCACCCAAGCTTTTCTACTGTTTATCGTCGCGTTGGTGAGACAGGTTCCGTGGAACCATACGCTATGCATCGAGGAAGACCGATATCCGCTCGCACGCCTGACCAAGAAGAAAACATTTTACAACCTGTCACAGACGATCCAAGTATCAGCACGTCAAGTGACCCTAGCATGTCGTATATTTATGTAGTACCGCATGAAGGGTACTCAAGAGTAGCTCCTGTAGCTGTATCATTTGCAACGTGTGCAGGGTCTTTTGCCCTTTGATTACTCACCACTTGAGAACATTTGCCGATGGGTTATTGCACAAACTGCCGATCGTCCTTTCAGTCTTCCGAATGAGGCAACATTTGGAAGAGATGAGATAATACATTTATGCAACAAACATTTATGGGTGGATCGGAATCCTCACGGTACAACACAGACTAGACACCAGTAAGAGTTTGCGATTAATGTGTGCGCTAGAATTGTAGGTGACTGTTTGGTACATCCATATATCTCCTAGCATTTCTTACAAGAGCTGTCTACAGGGACTTTATTTCGAACACACTTCCAAACCTGGGAGAGGATTACCTCTGCTAATACGAAGACGCATGTGGTTCTTGCATGATGGGGCCCCCAGCACATTTTAGTCACATTGTTTGCAATGCACTGGCCGACATCTGCCATAAAAGGTGGATAGGTAGAGCGACCAATTCCATGGCCTGCAGCCCCCACCCCCGACCTCAATCCTTTGGATTTTTATCTGTGGGGCCACCTAAAAAACTGGTTTATACAGCATACATTAATAATGCGGAAACGCTTCATCAATGTGTTGTGGGGTCCTGCCAAACAATTCAACACCGTGTGGGAGTATTTGAAAGTGTCAGCCAGTCAGTGATCCGACGGATGCATGCGCGTTTAGAAACAAGCGGAAGACATTTTGAAATTTTGTTGTAAGTTGCTGTGTTGGGGTACAACGATGGCTTTTAGACATATGTAGGCATTTTACCTTGTTTTTGTATTAGGTACCGGCCCCTAAAGTCTGTAAACATTTGCATTGTATCTTGGATAGTATATTTGACAGCGTCTACCGCAAATATGAAATTTAATAACTCAAAAACGAATGATTTGCGAACATATGTTTATATGGACTTTTGTCCTTCTTTTCGTGTAAGGGACTCGCTCCAAAAGTTTGCAAACGTATTTTGATACACCTTTCATATATCTGGGAGTGGAAGTAGTAATGTTTTATAATCATTCATTTGAATAAATGAATATGTATTAAACTTTTTTTTTCAAATAATTAACAGGTTTCTCACTAAATAAGCTGCACAAATAGGTGAATAGAAATATTGAAATAAAGTAAGTTTATATTTGTGTGTGTCAAAATTTTGCTAAGTGCGCCGTGTCATTTGCTCCTAGGTGTGTTGTTGCTTAAAAAGCTTGAGAAATACTGGATTAAGCAAACAATTTTAATGTGGATAGTTCGAGGATATGTCTCATTTTCCTAAAGAAAATTAAATAACATCAAAAAGTAGGAAGCGATAAAAACTACGCTCAACTAAAGAAGAAATCGGGGTCTGTTTATCGCACATTCGACCAAACATCGAAGAAATTGCCAAAAAACACGAGGCACATGTTTCATACTAAATAAACTGCACAAATAGTTGAATAGAAACATTGAAATAAAGTAAGTTTATATTTGTGAGCATATTTTTTTATAATAATCTATGGTTTTATTTCATATCATTTATAAGCATACCCTTTAAAGATTTTGCTAAGTGTGCCGTGATATTTTCATTTGCTTCTTGTTGAGCTGTTGCTTAAATTGTAGGACAAATATAAGAATCTAAATTCATAAAAAGCCCCAGGGAGAATATTTGCTTTTTTCCTCCAGAAAGGCCCTTGTCATGTTTAATACCTTGAAAGGCTTTAATCTGTTGCTATATGTACAATATATCGAGACAGTAACGCCTTCCAAGGTATTAAACATGGTGGTAATCACAAGGACTTCCTTATATATATATATTTTTTTTTTGTCAAAGTGTGGAAAGAAGGAAAAGAGTTGAGGTGGAGAAATCATACGGGGTTGAGTGATTCTTGTCCCATTGGGAATACAAAAGAGTGAGTAGTTTATAAAGACGTTTACACAACGAGATCTGAGTGAGACTAGCGCGCGCGTTGAATGGTGGGAAACATTTTGGCGGGAGATATTTGGGCGGGAGATATTCGAGCGGGAAACACTTTGGCGGGAGATGGTTGATCGTCTGCAGTAATTGCTATCGAACTGTTCAGCAGCTTTTTTTTTTCGTTTTTTTTTTTTTTAAATCGATATCAATGCTGGTCATGACAGATCGTAAGCGGATTCAAGTGACGGATGGGTATCGACGGTGCTTGGCTGGTTTGTAGCGGTGGTGATTGGAAAGACAGAATGGATATGAAAGAAAGAAAGATTTGATGAAAGAGAAAGGGTATATACAAGAGAGCAATGCATCAGGTAATTCGAAAGGAGGTTTAAAATAAATTGTAGATTAAAGAAAAATGAGAGAAAAAAAAGCGAAAGCCAGAAATGGTGCAGAATGTAGGAAATCTTTTTTTTATTTTTTCAAAGCGGAAGCAAAATCGCTTTTTTTTTTCACATAACCTATATCCGATCAGAACAATCTAACAAGTAGATTGCGTCTAGCATGAAACAGCCTGTCGCCTCTGAGTGTTGACTTCAATGTTCACTCTTATATTTACATACGGTCTATCTTTGATATTGAGCATTTGATCTCTTAAATATAGCACACCGTAAAACTATATTTCTTCATATATATATATATAATAAAAAGGCTTAAACACTAATATTCCATGGGCATAATTTATTCCATTGGAACCGTAAATACGATACTCTGTCCTGGACATTGAGTTCTACCTGGATTCTATCTTCTTGGAATTATTTTTTATACAGATATATATGTATGTGTATGTATGTATGTATGTATATATATTTATATATTTTAGATATATGATTGCTTATGTACGTGTATATTTACAACTAATATTATCTATCTATCTATCTATCTATCTATCTATCAATATATATATATATATATATATATATATATATATATATATATATATATATATATATATATGGAGAAATATGTTTTTGTCCTACATTTTAAGCAACAGCTCACCAAGAAGCAAATGAAAATATCACGGCACACTTAGCAAAATTCTTAAAGGGTATGCTTATAAATGATATGAAATAAAACCATAGATTATTATAAAAAAATACGCTCACAAATATAAACTTACTTTATTTCAATGTTTCTATTCAAGTATTTGTGCAGTTTATTTAATGTGAAACCTGTGCCTCGTGTTTTTTCACGATTTCTTCAATGTTTGCCCGAATGTGCGATAAGCAGACCCCGATTTCTTCTTTAGCTGAGCGTAGTTTTTATCTCTTCTTACTTTTTGATGTTATTTAATTTGCTTTAGGAATATGAGGCATATCTTCGAACTATGCACATTAACTTTGTTTGCTTAAACCAGTATTTCTCAACCTATATATATATATATATATATATATATATATATATATATATGTGTGTGTGTGTGTGTGTGTGTGTGTGTGTGTGTGTGTGTGTGTGTGTGTGTGAAAAAAATCAGTCAAAATTGGATAAATATGCTGTCAATAGAAGAAAAAAAATATTTTAATGGCGTGAAATAAATAAAATGAATGAGGGGAAAAGGAAGGAATTTTTTTTTTGTTTTTACAATGTTCATCGTGTACAAGCGACAAGTGTCACTCGACAAAGGGTGTTACAGAGTAAGAGGTACAATTTATGGGGATATGTCAACTCTAGACTTAAAAGAGCCAACACTGTAATTATCGGGGAAGAGTCCTCTTGGGAATTGGTTCCAAAAAGCAGCAGTTCGTTGTAAGAAGCTGCTCAAGTGGAACTTTCAACTCACCAATGGAATACCAAGGTATGAGGGTGATTTGCTACAGTGTGCCTGACATTGTCGGTCTTAGCCGTGAAGATTAGAACTGATGAACTTACGGAATGTCTTTTGCCTGAGCACTTTCCATGGAAATAGCAAAGGTGTAGCGAAAAGCCTGTAATGTTTCGTCTGTGGGAAAGAGGTTGTAGGTTGCGAAATATTCCATCGCCCACAAAGATGCGGAGACGCTTTTTGGAATCTATCGATTCCGCGAAATGGTAACCTGGCATCTTCTGCCCATATATGTTCACCCCGTACAAGACCCAAGTGCCACTCAAAGTAGAGGGTTGTATATAAAGAGAGTTTATGGGGTTATCAGAAGAAAACAACTTATGACTCCAGACCCGAACAAGTCAAGATTGCACCCTCTTGGGAGACATTGCGCAAACATGGGAAAAAACTGCTCGAGTGGAACTTACATCTCACCAATGATATACAAACAGAATGAGGGTGGTTCGCTAAAGTGTGCTTGGCAGGGAGGGTCTTAGCTGTGAAGGTTGGAACTGGAAGAACTAAGGAATATAATCCGTCCGAAATTTTTCATTGAATTAGAGCAGCGAGAGAAAGGAGGTTGTAGGGTTGAAAATAATCCATCAATCGCAAAGAGGTACCCAATTTTCGGCGTGATCTGGCTCTTGTAGAGGTGTAGGATAGTTGAAGGAGCCAGGTACTTACTGGAGCGGTATGGATTGACGGAATTCAGGAAGGAAGGAATGAAGAAAGGAAGGAAAAATATTATTTATGGAAAAGAGCAATAGATAAAGAAATGGAAGAAAACAAGGCAAAGATAAAATGAGAAACGTGAAAGAGAATCAAAAGAGGACTGAAATGAAAAGAAACTGAAATAAAGAATTTAAGGAACAAAAGAATCCAAGAAATAAATAAGAAGAATTTGAAGAGAACGGAAAGAAAAGACATGTGAGGAGGATGAAGAGGAAAAACATAAATAAAATATGAAAAATTATTAAAAATTAAACAGCAGAATAAAAGAAAGGATGATAGAAAGACACTAAAAAAGTAAGAAAAATGAACAAAAAAAAGAAAGAAAGAAAAAAGAAAGAAAAAATGAAAGAAAGGAAGAAGACTGGAAAGAAAGAAAGAAAGAAAGAAAGAAAGAAAGAAAGAAAGAAAGAAAGAAAGAAAAGTGAATAAAAGAAAGAAAGAAAAAGAAAGGTTGAAAGAAAGAAAGAAAGAAAGAAAGAAAGAAGGAAAGAAAGAAAGAAAGAAAGAAAGAAAGAAACAAAAAAACAAACAAACAAACAAACAAACAAAAAAACAAACAAACAAACAAACAATGAGAGAAAGAAACGGACCATGAGTGATTAGATGGAGGAATGCATAGATGAGGAAAACAGAAAGATTAGATGAAGGAGTGGGTGAATGAGAAAGAAAGAAAGAAAGAAAGGACGAAAGAAAGAAAGAAAGAAAGGACGAAAGAAAAAACGAAGAAAGAAAGAAGCAAACAAACAAACAAAAAACAAAGATTAGATAAGGAATGAATGAGAAAGAAAGAAAGAAAGAAAAAAGAAAGAAAGAAAAAGAAAGAAAAAGAAAGAAAGAAAAAGAAAGAAAGAAAGAGTGATAATTGCTGAAAAAGAAGAGGGTAAAAATATCAAAAATTAAAGATCCAATTCTTAAAAAATAGTTCAAAAGCTAGTGAAAATAAAACCCCAACTAAATGACATGATGAACAGAAGGAGAAGGAAGGATGTTAAGAGAGAGAGAGAGAGAGAGTGGGCTAGGGCGCGAGAGAGAGAGCGAGACAGAGAAAAAAGAGAGAGTGCAAAAGAGAGAAAGAGACAGAGCGAGAGAAAAAGCAAGACACCTAGAGAAAGAGCGAGAGAGGAGGAGCGACAAAAAGAAAGAGCAAGAGAGAGAGAGAGAGAGAGAGAGAGGGGGCGGTTATAAATCGAGCAATAAACGAGGAATTGATACTCAAATGGGCGCTGATATTCCTAAAGAGATTTCTTTGAAGATTGCAGAGTGTAAGTCCGAAATATGAAAGCGGACTTAAGATCACAAATAAAAAAACAAAAAAACAAACTATTGCCAAATTTTCGTCCCAGATCAAAAATAGATGAAAAATCAAATTCTGTTGTTTCTGTCTGTCTTCCGTCTCTTCGTTGATCTTCCACACTGACTCTCCTTGTGTATTTTTTAAACATCCTTTTATGTTTTATTTTGGAAAGTCGCCCAGACAAACAATAGGTTGATATAATTATTTACCGCTACACCGATCACAATTTTATCTTGTATCCACATGACTAGTGCCAAATAAACCTTTCCTTCGCATTTAACTGCTAGAGAGAAGCTTCTACTATCAGAGCACAGTTTTTTTTTATCATCGTCTTTATTAAAAATCTGTCGTGGTTAATATTTTTCCTTAGCTAAGGAACCCACTAATTACTTAGGAATGTTTTAATTCCTATCCTTGGTGTGATGTTTTTGCGGTTTTGTAAAATTACAAATTAGCCTACGGGATTATCTGACAAGAAGCAGTTGTCGAATCCAAAATAATTTCATTTATACACCGTGTCCCTTTTGAACTTGGGGAATGGTGGATTTTTTCAACTTCTTTATATATATATATATATATATATATATATATATATATATATATATATATATACTCGGACATGAGTTAGCAACCACCATATATATATATATATATATATATATATATATATATATATATATATTATATATATATCATTTTCCAACTTATTCAAGATGATCTTCTCTAACCTAATTTTCTATCCTAGAATAACTAGCTACCTCCAACGTTTCACGTACGATTTCATATGCAAGTCTTACTTTTTTTTAAACAACAGCTAAAATATTATTACAATTAGATTTACGTTAAGAATATTCGAACACAGCAGCGTTCCATATCACGTGACATCCGCATCTCTTGACCGACGCTACTTGTAAAAATAGAAAGGGTTTTAAGACAAGGATATATCCTCTCAAAGAACTAATCAAACCTATAAAATGAGGCGATTCTGAGAGAATTTGAAGGATTCATTATTGGTGACCACAGTCTTAGCAACATAAGATAACACAGTATTGAGAGCAGACACGAAAAAATCTTCTCCAAAGTTAGTAAATGTAAACCAGAAGAAAGGACAAAACATCAATTGCCAGAAGACAGAATGCATACTTGTTCGTAAAAGATGTTAACTTTTCATATGTATTTGACTTTTGGAGTTTACAAAATGAAACTCACACCTAGGTGTATAACCTTTTAACTTGTTTCTTTTTTCTTTCTCAGTTTGCGATCAGTGTCATTCGTGTAACGTATTGGCGTACATTTTTTGTTTAATGTTATTTCACCTAATACAAGGTCCAAGAGCAATATTCTAAGCATGAATGAATGGTTATAACATTTTTTTTTCCAGAAAGGTGTTGCTGGTAATCTTTTATTCTTCCAAAATTTATTGATGGTATTAATTTAAAAAAAAAAAATGTTGATGGTATTAAAACTTATTTTTACACTTTCATAGTGTTTTGACCCCAATTTGGGGGTTAACTATTTAAAATAGCTGGGACCCTAACAGGTGCTACCACCCCGTGTCAGGATGAACCTGGAGCACCAGCAGATAAGAGGTGGTTCCACGCTCCTCAAAACTCCCTGATCAGACGCGTATGTAGTTTATCGCCTTACCCAGGACTCGGATGTAGTTTATTGTATTACCCAGGGCGGTCTATGTACCAAGTCGTCTATATTGTTATGTGTGAATAAGAAACAATGTGACAAAAAAGATTATTCGAGAGAAGATACTTAAATAAATCCTTGTGCAAATTAATTGTCTATTATGTTATAGATATGTAAAATATATTCCGGAGAGAAAAATTGTCTCGTGAGACCCGGCTAATCAACTTTCTTACCAGCTAACCTAGAATTGAATTCAATATGATCTTTCCACCTCTTGGCAGCTGAAAAGATTGGCTCGAAAGGGCGAAAAAAGTGACTTTCTTGGTGGTTAGCATCAGCCACACTGAAGGAAGGCAGAAATAGATCTCTTAGATGATTAATGAAGAAAAGTTTAGTTTTGGTATGGTTAAATTTAACAATCCATCTTCTGCCCCAGTAAACGACGGAGAAATCAAATTTCGGCATTAAATCATCCATAATAAGTTGATTTACCTTTAAACTAACAAATCAATCAATTCACTTTTCATACGGAGTTATGAGCTGGCCTTTTCATGTCATCTGAGAACGTTAAGTCCGATAAGGCTTAACGAGTCACTTTCCTGGAGGTTAGCATCAGCCATGATGATGAAAGCGGAAGAAGGGGTCTCTCAGATGATTAATGGAGAGAAGTTTAGTTTTACATGTGTTAAAATTAACAAGCCATCTTCTGCCCCAGTTAACACCAGACTAGACGTCATTTTGGACATCAGCTGTCATTTTGACTTTTTCAAACTGATCAGCTTTACTATCGAGACGGAAGTAAATGGTTGTATCATCATCGTATATCCCAAAAATCATATATTTCACTTATCCTTTGTTAGATTTATCGATCCCCAAATCAGTTAAGTTTATCAGCATCTTTATTAAAAAATTATCTTTGAATACCAGTACACTTTTAATTTTATGTGTTACATGTTCTCGACGCTATTCTCATAGAAGGTCTCTCCGTTGTAATCTGTTTCCTCTCTGAATTACATGTTCTTTTTCTTTTAAAAGTTTCCTCTTTTTAGATTTTATACATCGTGCGCCCTATTTGAACCCCCCGATATCTCTTCTATGTCTGCAATCCTCACGTGCCATGGTATTTCTGTCCGTGTACACTCGTTGAGCCATGCTTCTGTAGCTTTCTTGCATTTACTTTTAAGGTTTATTGTTTTACAATCCATAGTCTGTGCCATCTCTTGGCATTATTTATTGCTTTTTTATTAGCTCGAGTATTTATCTGTTTTCCACTTCTTTTTTCACGTCTCTATTCCTTTGCGTGGGTCCTTTTCCTATTCTCGCGAGAACTTCGCTTAAGATATTTCCTTTTGAGTTACTGATATCTTCCAAGCTTTTATAATTGTTCTTATTTCCAACTGTAAATGCTGTATACGGACTAATTTATTTATTGTTCAATTTACTATATTTCTGGCGGGTACGTTTCCAGCGCACATCCCTTATCTATAAATTGCAAATCGAATTCTTTGACTAAAAATTCTTGTGATATTCATTGTCCGATGATTTGGCATCGTGAAATATGGAAATCCTCGAACCTTTGGGCTAACGGCCTATCAGCCTTTTAGCTCTGTTCGACATACGACTAATGGCTCTAAGCAACCCCGATTTGCTTAATCCTCTCATATCGCTTCTCTAGATCAACTGGTGATGTACTAACGATTATTGCTGAAAGTATCTATTAAGCTTTAGATAAGATAAGAATGGTGAAACTCAAGTTTTTACCTTGGACATTTCTTCACCAGTTGAAAAGTTATGGCACTGCCGAATTTTTTTTGGAACTGATCCAATCTTTCTTAACAAATCGGAAAATGAAAGTTTTCTTGAACGGCCACTCTTCTAGATCTTTATGTATTAATGCAGGTGCCCACCAGAGGGTCTATCTCTCGACCTACTTTTCATCAATGAACTTTCTAACAATGTCCTCTCAACTTGATGCCAATGCTGACCAAGCAACTCCTGTCTCAAGAGCAAATCTGATCAGTTCGTTAAAGGCAAATTGGCAGGTGATCTAAAAATGACCAACAAGTTTTGTTAACTGTGGCATGGAAAGGATTGTTAATTTCAACGCCCCAAAACAAAACTGCTCTCTTTTAATCGTCTGACAGAATCCTTTCTGCCTCCCAATAACGTGACCGGTGTTAACCTAACAAAGAATGACTCATTACGTCTTCAATGGTTAACATTCTTGGCTAAAATGACGTGAGAAGATGATTATATAGAATACATTTCAAGGTCTGCTGATAAGAAAGTTGATTCACTGCGTCATACTAATATAATTTCTCTCTCCATAACCTATATTATATATATATCTATAAGTCTGTCAGTCGTACATGTTTTGAGTATTGCTGGTGCATATGAACCGGTACTGCTGCTATATATTTAGAGATTCTTAATAAAATTCAAAGAAGAATCAATAATAATAATAATAATGGTCGTGACCGAGAGTCTCGGACTTCAGTCACTTTCTTCTGCTTTTTTCTCTAAATATATTCATGGCAACTGTTCGGATAAATTGTTCACTATGGCATGGTATGGCATGGTATGGTATGGCATAGTATGTTATGGCATGACATGGTATGACATGTTATGTTATGGTATGGCATGGTATGACATGTTATGGTATGGCATGGCATGGTATGAAATGTTATGTTATGGTATGGCATGGCATGGTATGAAATGTTATGTTATGGTATGGCATGGCATGGTATGAAATTTTATGTTATGGTATGGCATGGTATGACATGTTATGGTATGGCATGGTATGGTATGACATGTTATGGTATGGCATGTCATGGTAAGGCATGGCATGGTATGAAATGTTATGTTATGGTATGGCATGGTATGACATGTTATGGTATGGCATGTCATGGTATGAAATGTTATGTTATGGTATGGCATGGTATGACATGTTATGGTATGGCATGGCATGGTATGAAATGTTATGGTATGGCATGGCATGGTATGAAATGTTATGTTATGGTATGGCATGGTATGACATGTTATGGTATGGCATGGTATGGTATGACATATTATTGTATGACATGTTATGGCATGACATGTTATGTTATGGTATGGCATGGTATGACATGTTATGGTAGGGTATGAATATAGTTCTTTATGGTTTGAATGAAAGCAACCCTCCCCCGAAATTAGGCTAATTTACAGTTGTTTTTGTATCTTTAGTTTCTTCATTCCAGTTACCGTAGCTAGGGGATGTATGCTCATTGGCCCCTTTTATTTCTGTCCCTATTTTTCCATTATTTAATTCCTCATCCTCTCCCTTGTTAGGTGCTCAGTGACGTCAGTTCTCTGGTGGATGCGGGGCACCTTTCGTTTTCGGTGTGATTTTCAAATTTGTTCTTGTATCTGTATAAGTGTTTGTGTGAGTGAATGGGATGAATGAATGTTTTATATTATTAATGCCCCGCATGGATTTCGTCCACTGAACTGATGTTTCTGCCACATTTAAGGATTGTGGTTTGTTTGTGTTTTTATTACTAACATTATTTTATTTGGTTTCTTGTAAATAGTTTTGCCTTCATATTGTAACTAATCATTGAGGCTATTT